CCTTCCGCACGACGAGGAGCAGGTGAAAACGAACCGATACGAGGTTTTTTTTCCACTAATCTTATTTATATACTCGCACACGCGTGAAAGAAAAAACGTGGGTAATTGGTTACAGGTAATTCGTATAATATATTTTTTGATTCGTAAAAAGATCAAAGAGGACTTAATATGATTTATTGCGAAAAACGAATCGTTTTTACACTCGCATGGAAACGTACATCGTTCAGTTCCGCGATTTACAAAGTTACTTTACAACGAAACGTGTACTACTGTTAACGCAAAATGATTGGAAAATCAATGTAATATGTGCCTTTACAATATTATTTATCATGGACTACATTATTAAATTAAAATATGAAACTGTCTAAAAAAAATCAACTGATTATTAATAAGAAAATTAATAAATCAATAGACGATAATAGTTTACTATTTTTTTTTTTTTTTTTTTGATAAATATGATTTAAAATTTGTATTTTATATAAATATAATATATTATGATATATTATGATTACAGTTGAACCCTTATAATCCGTCACCTTCGGGACTAGTGGTGTGGTCGGGACTGGTGATGTGGTCGGAACGCGAAAAAAGTCGAATTACCAGAATATACAGAAATATTTGAATAGAATATTTTATCAGATTTATTTATTATAATATATTATATAATATTATTATTTTAAATTATATACATATATTAAATTAAATAAATATAAATAATTAAACAATAAAATAAATAAAAAATAGATAAATAGTAAACTGGCAATTAATTGTATAAATATATCTAGCTACATACTATAAATTGGAAAATCCAAATGCACATATTTTTTAGGTATTTATATCAATAATAATGTGGTCGGATCAGCCGGAGTGGCATACTAGTTACCGTTAACTCTAGTCTGTGGACGGACGAGAGGGGTTTACTGTATAATTAAATACAATAAAACAAGGAATACTTAATATTTATTAAAAATATTTGGAAAAAAGTAACAATTAACAAAAAATTAAATTTTATGAATAACGTTACCCGCGATTTTTTTTTAATAACCATTATACTTGTTTTCATTATTTGTTTGTAAAATATAATTCGATTTGTAAAATTAAGTGAAGTTTAAGTAATAACATGATTAAATGAGTTGAAACGTATGGCGTGACCGTAAATTACGGTAAATGAATATATTTATTTCTTAGATCCACTTCGTTACTTAAGATTTGATCGACTACATTGTTGTGTACGTCTCACAAATGGGTCAAAGTCGATTTGTGTGTTAAACTATTAAATAAATACGCGTAGAATATTGTAGTAGGTACGTACACACAGCTTTTATCGGCATTATTTTTAAATACTACAAATGGAGAGTTTGCTAAAATAGTCGTAAAATTGACGTTTCAACGTTTTCCGAATTTAATTTGAAATTGATCACATAACGGAGAATGGAATAGAACATTTTTTCAATAGATCATGTTGTATTCACGGTAGCTATCTCGTTTAGTTTTACATCGAATAATATTATAAATACACTATGAAATCCTCTGAAACTCATATTTGGTTATAACATAATTTTTACTCAGTATAAAATATCAGTTAAATAAATATTTATCTATAAACAATAATACAGTAGAATCACAATCATTACACTCAATTCAACCATTAAAGGCATTGCACGGATTTATAAATGTACACACGAGTGCTTTGAGTTATGAGCATTTTTTTCGCTTATTAATCGTTTGAACATTTGAGGTTTTTTTTTTGGCGCGTTAATCACGACAATCTTCGCACATCGCAAACTGTATACAGGTAAAAATCCTGTACCAGGCACGTGGTTGTGCTCGCTTAATCATAGGCCACAGCTGTCTGTTTTTCTCACGCCCTTCAGCCTTACTCGTTCGGAGTGTACGTAAATATACGTATATACAAAAAACTCTTTATACATGATTTTATATATCAACGTATACCTATCATATATAAAACTTATATATATATATATATATCCATTTAATGTTGTTTTTTTTTCTTGGTTTTCGCTCGTTCATGTACTTTCAGCATAAAGTGTGTGCTAGTGCAGAGTAGGTAATCAGTACAAGGGGGATTGTTAAAACAATAACAAACGCAAACTTCGAGGGGCCAACCACTCAGCGCAATAAAATATTATATTATTATAACGAACGCGAGCTCGCAATGCATAATGACTTTAACAAGTTTTCGGTTTCCAGTGTCTCTTGTCATGAAGTCCCTCCGTAACAGCTCCTTTATGTGTGTACACGAGTGTGCGTGTGTGTGTTTGAGTATAGAAGCCATTTTACTGCACGCACATGTGAGAAACGCATGCAAGCAAGTATACAGAACCTGCGTAAGAATATCTTGTCACTGTACTTCAATCGCATTTTCAGCAAACGTTGATAACTCGTTCGTTTAGAACGTTAAAATTTGCCGTGTGAAAAAATTTGGATGAACTCTCAACACGAAACAAAATGACTAAGAAAAATGCATTCGGGCTTGTAATATTCATCTCCTAGACAAGTCGCCACGACGGTACTGATTTACGCAAGTGTTATATCAATACTTCGCAAGATCACTTAAAACGCGAAAACCAACATAGCTAGAACATCACCTCAGATGATCTCCCAACACACACGGTACTCGTCCGATGACCATTCGTATTAGTTCATTCTGACTTCCCGACACAAGTCCAGTCCACTGAAGTTTCTGGTTTTCGATTAGACTTAATATATTAACTTTTCGGAATAGCCTTTCCAATTCATAATTTTTCCTTTTTCTTCGCTTTCCCGTTTCTTCGTCCTTCATTGGTCCCAAAAATGTTCCTTAAAACTTTCCTTAGTCTTTTTTAATGGCCAAACCTCTGCCTTATAAATGACGAATGGGCGTATAAAGGTTATATAGCTAATAGTATTTAATAGCATATATATAAATATATATTTTACTAGCTGTCCCGACACGGCGTTGCCCGCGTATTAGTTGGTTTTTTTGGCATTTTCGTAGGCCATGTATTAGTGTTATTATGTATGAGAAAATTTAAAAGTAATAGGTAAAGTATCTAAATGTTGAAATTAAGTACAAACCAACATATATATTTTCTGAATTTACGTCGTACCGAACTTCGCATTTTATACCTTTGAACATTTCTCGAAAATTCTATAACTTTCTTCATTACAACAATTGCAATGCAAAAAATAATATTGAGATAAAAACTATCCTATATATTTATTAAAATAATTGCAATGCAAAAAATAATATTGAGATAAAAACCATAGGTTAGGTTAGTTATATAATTCTCGGAACAATTCATATCTACACGCCGACGACGATAAAACATACACAATAGAAAAAAGGTCAGATTACAGATAGCTATATAAATACTTGCGGTCGGTCACGGGAAAACCCGAAATACACCATGCAATTATACACATTTATTAAAAAGTTAATTAAAATATTTAAAATATTAAAAAATTTGAAAAAAAAACTATCCTATATTTTAAGTTGGACCAAATTACACACGGTGTAAAAAATTTCATCAAAATCGGTCCAGTAGTTTCGGAGATTATTGCGAACATACATCGTGACACGAAATTTTTATATATTCAGATATAATTGTTACTTAATTTCTATCGACAAAAATCGTAGTCTTAGTATTTTTATGAGTCCATAAAATCATTTATATCCTGATAGAATTCTTGATGAAATGTCTTTGTTTTTTTTCTGTTATTATTGTGTCCAGGTAAATTGTTTAGTTCTTCTGAAAGCACACCTATCAACTTTCAGATGAGGAAAAGAGGCCATGCCATCTCTTTTCCTCGTAGCCATTTATTTTATTGTATAAAAATGATCTTTATAGATGGAAAGCTTGACCAAAAAGATACATAAAACACATATATAAATATATGAAAGAATAAAATAGCGTACGTGTGGAGTAGAGAAATGCACCTCCCAAACTAATATTCTGAACTCTCCATCGTTTACACATGCACGTAACTCCAACATTGCATAAACGACAGGATGATCTTATAGAAGCTTTATATTATAAATGTAATTATATTATTTTTTCCAAGGGACGTGGTGGTCACTGATCAGCTACAGTTGTCTTTAAGCGTTGTGGTTAAGCTGATTCCCGTATAACTTGTTTCTGGACAGATAGCCACACGAGCGTTTAGTAACAAATCAATGTCGCATAACCCACACTATAAGGGTTCCAACTCACCAATCTACGGACGAAAATAAATAAATATATTTCTTTTAATAGATCCGATTTACAGAGCTGCCAGGGTATCGATTAATTTAAAAGAAAAACCAAACGTATTATGATATGTGTTTATTATCGAGGAAATCAATAAAATATTTGAAACGCAACGTTAAAAGCACTGAAAACACAGGGCACTAACTATAAACTATATTAAACGGACTTAAACGGGTTGACGACAATGTACCGAAATCGCATGCGACGCGCGATCTATTCATAACGATCAATTCATCTCGCCACGTGTAACTCGCTATAAGCGGGACAAAAAATAATCTTACAAGCCAAGCGTGACACGTTACGCTTAGTCGTACCCAAAGCCAATAAAATACGGGGAAATACGCGTTACCAATAATTCGTTCGGTACGGATATTTCGGTATTTCGTGACTGAAAACGACGTAATGTCCATGCGGATATTGATGGACAAACGAGAATTACAACGTGCACGTCGGGCGGTATACAGCTTTTTGCGAACTACAACGCTTTCCGATAAACAGCTTCAGGTCAATCCGCTTACGACACACTCGAACATTTCGATCCGTCCGCCAAGATTCGAGTCGTACCGACTAGTCGAACGCACACATCGTGGTGACGAGGGCTTTTTTTTTTTCTTACGACCGTCGAAATAGGATAAAACATTTAACGTTCCCTCGGCACGGATTCGATCCGCGCTCGTTACGACTACCTACGGCCACTTCAGTATCTACTGATGTCTACACGTAAAATTATCGAAAACAAAACGCTCTTACCTGTCGTACCGCAGGTCGTCGTCGTACGGATAGTCGGGCGGCAGTATCTGCCAACAGCTGGTCTCGTACGCTCCGGCCGTCTGAGTTCCGCCACCGCCGCCACTGCCGCCGCCGCCAACCGGCTCCTGGAAAGGGACCGCGGCACCACCTCCGATGCCCGGATTGTTGGCCTCGTGATGGTGTTGCTGTTGTTGCGGTGGTTGCTGTTGCTGCAGATGCATTCCGTCTTGGTGCTGCTGGTCCAGGTGGTGCTGCTGCAAATGATGGTGATGTTGGTGCTGCAGATGATGTTGTTGTTGCTGTTGCTGTTGTTGCTGGTGCTGCTGCTGTTGGTCGACGACCGGCATGAACGTGACGCAACCGCCACCACCGCTGCCACTGCCACCACCACCGTGATGGTCCTGGTGCACGTGATGGTGCTGCAATACCATCGGGTCGCCGACGGCGAGGACGTCGTGCTCGTGGTGCACGTGGTACATGTCGCCAGGGCCGTTCGAGGATCACCGGACGGTCGGGAGAAGCGATGCGGACGATACGATGGTCCGGAACCTAACGATCGACGGCCGATGGTCGTTTGAATACGGCGATATGTTGCCGCGGATATTTCTCACTTCGACCGAGGACCCATCCACGGCAGTGCGTTTGTCGGTAAACAATTGTCGTCGTCGTGTCGCGTACAACTGCCGTATCGCTGGCGTGACCGAACACCGAACCGAAGCGCCGCACCGACGTCGCCGATAGATAAGACGACCTCTTATCCGCCCCGTACCGGATCCTTGTGGATATTACATACACACATACGTCTCGTAGATATACATTTGCGCGAGTGTGTACACAATATATTTGTGTATATATAAGTGTGCGCGTGTACGTACGTACGTGTATGTATATTAGGCACATACGCAACTTGTTTTTTACTTATTTCGTTTTTTTTTTTTTTTTAATTTTTTATCTTCGAGTGTCGGCACAAGTCAGTGCCGTTTCTTGAATCGAAAGATTTTTTACATTTTCACAAACACTCTATGATGTCTTGTAGCTCAGTAGACGAGTTACGATTTCCGAGATTTATTTAAACGGTACAACGTAACATAAGTACATAACGTTTTTCTTGCATTTATTCGGTAAAGCCTAAAAGCCGAAGTGGTTTATTTTTCTCTCGACCACAAAATTCCTGATCGTGTAATTAAAGTTAATTTCAAACAACTTAGCGGTGAGTTTTCAATTGCTGATCGGTCAAAATAAAAATCGTCAGCTACCGCGGTCGCGACAGCGTTTAGTTGCTGTGTGAACTCATTCCCATTTATTCGCGATTTAAAATGATGAATGATGCCTGTTTCGCGATTTCGGGTTCCAGTTTTGTTGGATACGAGTAGGTACGAGAAGGGATAAAACAACAATTTTCAACGTACAATGTTTTAACCCTGAGGTTATGAAATTTCTGCGAGCTTCGATGACCGAATGACATCCATCTAGAGCAGAAGTCGGCAACTTGCGGCTAATTAGGATAGTAAAAAAGATTGCTTAACCTGAACGGCTCTTTAGAGCTTTTTTAGAGCTCTTTTTTAATTTTGGAATTTATTTTTAAAAAAAGTAGCTCTTTCCTTCCTTTCCTTCGAAAAGGTTGTCGTCCCTTGATTTAGAGGGTCGGGTACGGATAATAATGTTTTTAACATCGAATCCGCCGAGTCGTCGAACGTCTAATGAAAGCGACCGAATGTGTTGAGTTTTAAATATACAGTTACTTCCACTATCGAATAGATTACATAATTATTGAATCGATATTGTAATACTTGGAATTTCAATCCGAATACGTTATCACATCGCCATTACATCAAAATATAACGAACTTGAAGATCAACGTTCTTAAATTAATAAACGTCCGTTTAAATACAAACTATTGGTTCCTTTCACTTCCACTTTGAAATTAGGTACCGATTTAATCATTCTTCACACTATGCTGCATTATTTATAAAAAGTACAGGGTCGTCCTTATACTTAAAAAGGCCTAAGGAAAATATTTTTTTCGTGGCCTTTTAAAAAAAAAAAAAACAATTTTTATCTTCCATCACCTCCAATCTATCAATGTCACTGTTATTTCTATATCTTGATTAACAATAAATGTATGAACTTGTATAGATAAATTTTATTTCTTCAAAGTTTCTTAAGGCAATTTTTATTAAAGTATCTGTTAAAAAATATAAAGTCTAATATTAGTTTCACCCACTAGTTATAATATCTGAAGATTCATAAAATGCTTCGTCAAATCTTCTTTATTCATTTTATTAATTTCAGGAATACTTCCAATATCAAATAAAAAAACTTTAATAAACATCAAATCGCTTAAATAATCTATTTAAAGAAGAAATTCCTTGGTCAAGAATTGGAAAAAATACTAATTTTTAAAATTTTCTTCGCTAGCAGAATTAAAAGTTGTTCTACTAGAACTTCATCAAACATTTTCATTTCTCTTAACAGTTATTTTGCTTGTAGTCTTTGGTGATCGGAAACAATTCATCATCTGAAAATTATTCATGAAAACGCGGAGGCTGTAAATTCCGAACTAAGTACGGGAACTATGCATGAAAGCTTTATTCACCTTTCCCTTGGGACGGCCTTGTATACTTTCTTTTGATTACACTCGCACCAATCTCGTCGTATTGAACTCAATCATACAGAATAAATATATATTTATATATTAACGAGATCCAGTTATGCAAATTTCGAAGAGGGTGAACCTCGAATTTCCTTTTATGAACTTCCTTACTCTCCGTCCGTTTCACTTGAATTGGTGCAAAACAAAGTTTAAACAGCACAGTATAGTAACGCCACTGACTAAGTTGGCTTATATCTTTTACCACATAATTTTGTTATTATTATAGTATTTAATTAAGAAAAACGAAGAAAAAACTACAATGAACTTGAATTATAACCTAAATTCACATTCCCACCACTACAATTCACCGCCTTGTATTATTTTATTACGTATTATTTACATTTTTTGGTGTGTGTACACAACGAAGAACCACTCGGATCATCATAATTGAAAGATATATTTGAAATAGAAAATATTTTCTAGCTGGTACTTTGCCATTGCAAATTTTCTACATATTTTTTTTAAAAATTACAAAAACTGTCGTTAAGTTATAAAAAAACGACATTACTTATAAACCGGTTGTTGACAAAAACAAATTTTTGTTTTGTAAAAACTCCAAAATCACTAATCGTAAAAAATTTTTACTGAAAGATTATATTATCGTTAACAATAAATGGTACAATTTTCAAAAGATATTTTTGGACTATGTATTGATAATGAGAAATTTTATGTTTTCGTACATTTTTTCAAAAAATATATAAAATAACATTTTTATTAGTCAAAAAAGTTTTGAACATTTAATACACAGTTTCTCATACATATCTATTACTGATTAACAAAAAAAAAAAAAAATGAACTTCATCATACAGAAATAATTTACGAGTGTTTGAATATTGAATACAAAACGATAAAAATCATGAAAATTCACTTTGTACATATTTTTAGTGTAAAATTCATAAAACTTTCAAAATTTACACTTCAGACTTTTAGACCTAAAAATAAAATATATGATTGTTTATTAGATTTTCTTTATAGCCAAAAGTATAAAAACTGATGTCACAAAATGAAATTTAATTACATTTTAGATGTTTATAAGCACATGATATTTTCGATTTTCCCAAATATTAAATGTCTTTTTTTTTCGCGAAAGTTCAGGTTCAATCCACTTTATTAAAAAAATGTATACTCTATACTATTATATCAATCATCTTTAGAAATATAAACTGATTCAACCGACCTCTTTCATTCAGAACCGTTTTTCCGGAGCAATGATACACAGGTTTCAAGTTTTAAAGACCAATTCAGCTACATAATTTACCCATTCCTGTATCGCCCCATCTTTTGCTATCAGTATTACTTAACTTTCAAACCAATTTGAATTCATACCGATCGTAAAAAAATGTTAAAAAATAAAACAAAATTACACTAGCACTAAGTTAGATGACTATCGTGTCGGAAAAACTTAAAAAAAAAAAAAGAAGAAAACCACCACGATACATCGCTACAGCAGCGTATTGCATCTCGTGCACAACGATTACTAATAATGTGTAACACACACGCCGACAGTTTATGTAACACAAACGCGTTATTGAACCATAAAACGTCTTGTTTTTTTATTGCGATCCCCGTACCCGTCCGGTATAATATCATGTGTATTATAATAATTTATCTTAACACGCGTTTATGTATAACGATAATGAAAATAAATTCGAATACAACCGTTCGGTACGCGTATACGTACATTATCTACCGACCGGGACTCGACGTGATACGAATAGGTACATCGCGTTCGCTGTTATACTTTTACAGATTTTATAACATTATTTCAACCCGACGCTCGTCCACAGCCTCTGTTGTGGTTACATGGACAACACGCACTGCAGCCCAAGATTAAGATCGCCGACACATGTTGTTTTTTATCGCTTTCGACTACCTTTTCCGTAACACGCGTAATGCGGGCATAAAAATAATAATAATTTCCGTCGACGTCGTAAAACGGTTCGGTGATGGATAACATACGGCGCTCATTTATCGTCTTTACTTCTCGGACAAATCGCGCCGAAATGTTCTTGTAGTACGGGTGCACAACACCGGCTTTAGCTCGTTCAGCGCTTAGTGCGCGAACTGTTTTGGCGCCTCTGCCTTAAAAAAAAAAAACCACTTAAACGTACAACTCGAACGGGCAGAATTCCGGGACCTGGAAGGGCCAAGCCCCGTTCGTAATCGAAAACTCTGAAAATGATTTTTCAAACGTGCCCAGTTGCCTCGTTTATGTAAATCCAACAGAAAACAAACGTAATAGTAACAATAATACAACGATATTTTATAAAACTGTAATTGTACCTACAAGTGCGGCCACTCCTTGCGCGTTTCGACATAATAACAACAGTCGAATTCATATTGTATCGCGTTGCGAAAACAATTATTATTTTTCTTTTACCTACGGCAAACGATTAGCGTCGCCGACGTTTGGACAGATTTAATACTCTGATCTTGACGCTACTCGCGGATTCCTTATGGTTTCGGTGCCCTGTACCGTCGCGCACGTCGATCGCGTCTAAACCCGTCAACACGGATGTGATCCTTTTGATCCTGTGTTGCCAAAACTAATATCACGGAACGTTCCCGTTTACCCATTATACGATTACCGTAACGGTACTACGGTTACGAACAATTCGTGTACGTACGCGCGCACGCGCGCACCACGTGCCACTACACTTTTATCGCACGGCCGAAAACACGTCGTCCGCGGCCATGCGTGTACCGTAACGCGTCGTCTCGTTTCAACCATACAACACAATTACTATTCCGACCACTGCTGTTATGTCTTACCGTGCCAAGTGTACGCGCGTAAACATCGTATCATAATACATTGTTGTTACGTTATCAGCTGCAATCAACGTGTGAACGCGGAGGTGCGAGTCAAAAAGTCAATGATTGTCAATTGTTTTCCGAGATAAAAAAAAATTTTAAATAAAATAGCCCTGATAAAATAAAACCCAGAATAGCTGACGTTATAAAGGATCTTGACGTACTTTTTGAACCTAAATTAACATTCAATGCTCGTATCCGTTATATAAAGGATAAAATCTTTAAACTGCTTGGTTTCAT